ACCACCGCCCGCGGTCACCATTCCAGGTCCAAGTGTGTTTTTCACCTCCATGAATATGCAGAGGTGGTCCGACAGTGTCTCGACCCCCTCGGCCACTCTTCAGCCTGAAATCCGCCTGAATGCATCGCGGAAAGCTCATATGATCAACTACGGAGCTCCTCCTCCACGCCACGCAGGGGCTGGCCGAGCCCCTATTCACCAACTCCTATGGCCCTAGGGGTGCCCGGGTACTGTATAGCGCTAAATTTACGCTCAGGAAAGCACCCGTAACCAAAGATGAGAATACTTGGACCTCCCATCCTGTGTACCGATGGTGCTCCGAGCGCCTCGCATAGCAGGCATTTCGGGTTCGCGGCAGTGCATCCTTTGGCTTGGTGTCCCAAGTCGCCGCATTTGTAGCACAGGTGCCCCCTGTCCTCCTTGGAGGTGCATGTCTTGCTTATGTGCCCAATCTCCAGGCACCTGTAGCATTGCAAAGGTCTTCGCTCGATGGCTTCGACTTTCGCTATCGTCCATCCTATGGTCAGCCTGGGCCAGTTTTCTCACTGTACCGTCCGAGCCTCGTATCCACACGGATCCAAGACCGTTACGAGCGAGGCGAATCTCTCCCAGTTTGACGTTCTCCGCCAACCACTCTCCTTCGCCAGGATGTTCCTGATTTCCTCCTTGGTGGCCAAAATGTCTATTCTGGTCAGTCTTGTTTCCGCGGCTCGGAAGGGTGTCGTTATGCGGACCTTGCTTGGATCCAGGGTCCGGGTCAGCCCAAGCCCATCCAGGGTCAGTGCAAGCGCAGCGGCCTTCTCCCTCTTCTCTTCGGAGACTTCCAGAACGACGCCTCCGGTCATAGTTTTACGCATCCTTACCGCGTTGACGCCGACCTCGGCCAGAGAGACGCTGTCCTTGGCCGCGGCCAACACTTCCGCGTAGGATTGGCCCGATCTATCCTTCAGCGTGATCGTTACCGCCGATGTTCGCGGTGTATGTGGGGGGGGGGACAGCTTGTCTCCCCCTCTGCACATGTTCTCCAATCCTCTCTCTGGGGCTTTCCTCGGGCTCTTCACCCCTGTCCCGGGAGTTATCTTTACTGGTTGTTTCTCCACTGGCTCCTTTTTCTTCCTGTTTCTTCTTTCGACGGTCTGCCATTCCATGGCA